AACAGCAGTTGTGACAAAACACAGTTCAGAACACACAAGCACAATATGACTCATGACTCATTCAAAACAGGTGTGTCCCCTTATCATAAACCTGCCATAAAGTTATGCTATGAATTCCCCTAAGATCCCATGCTGTATAAAACATCCTCATTCAAGCCCAGTTACACTAACCAGTGTTTAGTCCATCAGTAAAAATACAATCCTGCCTGTTTCAACACAAGCACTTCATGCAGAACTCAAGTAATGCTTAATCTTGCTGTGGTGTGCTAATGCTCTATGAGCATTTTGTGTATACAGTACTTTAGTTACATCATCGCTGGCCCGGCTCTCTGCTATTTATTCATTGACCTTCTTCATTTTGAGGTCCGTTAAATTGCAGATCCGCAGCACCATACAGTATGTGATGGCAGTTTCAGGACAGCAGTCTCAGACTGGAAGTTAGGACCTACCCCTACCTTCACTAAATCTATAAGCTCCACCGTAGCAAATGCATAACCCCACCACTAACCCTAAGCTTAATGAGGCTATAATCTCCACCTTAACTACCGGTCAGAGACTGCTGGCCTGGCTAGGCTGTCCTGAAACAGCTGTGATGCATGGTGCTGTGGCTCTGAGGTCAGATACTTGTCCATTTCTGCCATCAGTGAAAGCACCACCTTAATAGGGTTGATGCTGTGTTGTTATTTTATGCAGATGAAAGCGAGGCTGGGGGATAGGCCTACAGTCTTTATAATGGCAAGCACTGAATAAAGGTCATAGATTATGTGTCATTTGAACAACTTTCAAAACTATTTTAGGGAGTATTTGTCTACTGAAAGTTTTTTTGGAAAGGTGTTTAATCAGATAAACAATCACCTGAACACACTGTACTTCAGTCCCTTACAGCCTTGTTTTCATTCCTGCCAATAATGAAATACCCTGACTAAGGTCTCAAATCATTTTTGCTATTTCTCTGGTAAGTAGTTTTAGACATCCAGGAAAGTATATGAGCCACGAGCCATTCCAGCCACATGGGCAGAATCTCAGATCTCTGAGAATCACAGATTTAAAGGAATAAAGAAGATGGCATTGACTTCCATAGTAGGAAAAAAATACTATGGTAGTCAATGGCTACCGTCAACTTATCGTCTGGTGACCAACATTCTTCAAAATATCTAAAGAAACTCATACAGGTTTGGAAATACATGAGGGTGAGTACTCGCCCTCGTGTTGTTCCAAACCTGTATGACTTTATTTCTATTGTAGAAAACAAAAGATGATGTTTTGAGGAATGTCGGACTTTCACTCAATGGAAAAAAACAACACTGTGATATTTTTCTAAATATCTTCTGTGTTTTATGGTAGAATTAAAGTTTGGAACAATACGAGGCTGAGTAAATGATGTCAGAATATAAATTCTTAGGCGAATTATCCCTTTAAAGAAGCACTTGGTATTTTGTTCCTTATTAAACATTTTTTACTTAAAGAAATGAGTATTTAAGCAAAGTTTAAAATGATGTCCACTCACATGAGATGAAGACAGTTACATCTGTGACCGAATGAAATCTGATTTATTTTAGAGGGAGCGGGTCACTTCATGAGGGTAGACATGCTGAGAGCCTCTGAACTGCCTGCTTCATCTCGGTAACCTTTCTGGAGACTTTCCATTGTGTAATAAATTAACCAGGACTGACCCCAATATTGTCTCATATTTGTCTGCTGTCTTTAATCGACACGGCTCAGGATAGTCACTGTAGGGTTTGAGAATGTGGCTGTCAGGGTCTAGTCTATTCTTGGTTTTGTGACAGAGCCCTGACACTCCTGTAGGACTATTGTCTTGTCCTTGTGTGAGCGTGCGGTCTTGAGTTTCCTCGAGCCATGCGCTCTCTTGTCTGCGTGCCCTGTTTCCTTGTTTCATGTTGGAGCGTGGTGTTCAGATCCCGGTGTTGTGCCCAATTTCGACCCCCTGCCAAATTATTACCCGCCTCGTTGAAGCCGCTA